AGACGGGATTAGACGCCCTCTAAAAGACAGGGTCCACAGTTTGGGGATGCTCCTTGACCCCAGTCTGACCTTGGAAGCCCAGATGGACTCTGTGTCCGGGGGTGCCTTCTTACAGCTGCGGAGAATATATCAACTTCACCCTTACCTGGATGAGTGGAGCCTGGCAGCAGTCACTCATGCACTGGTAACAACCAGACTGGACTACTGCAATGCGCAATACATGGGGCAGCCTTTGAAGACGGTCCGACGACTGCAACTGGCACAGAACCAGGCTGTGCGGCTGGTAAGTGGTGCCGCCGCACGGACTCATATCACACCAGTTCTGAAAAATTTGCACTGGTCGGGCCCAATTCAAAGTGCTTACTTTGACATATAAAGCCCTAAACGGCATAGGACCTGGTTACCTAAAGGACCGCCTTCTTCCATATGAGCCTGCCCGTCCTCTAAGATCAGGCCAGGAGGCCCTTCTGAAGGTACCATCCCTGAGAGAGGTGAGGGGGATGGCATGTCGAAATAGGGCCTTCTCGGCTGTTGCCCCCCCCCAACTTTGGAATGCCCTCCAACACTCTTGGCTTTTCGATGCCAGGCAAAGACCTTTCTGTTTAGCCAGCATTTTAATTAAACAGTATTCCCTAGCTGGCCACATGAGCAGCAGGACTTATTAATTATAATGTTTTAAGAATTATTTTAATATATGATATTTTATATTGTCTTTTAAAAAGTTTTTAATTTTTTAAGTTTTAATGTTGTACGCTGCCCAGAAGCCACTGGTAATTGTGCGGCTAAAAATATTGTAAGTAAGTAAGTAAGTAAGCAATTAAGTAAGTAAGTAAATAAATAAATAAATAAATTAAATAAATAAATACATAAATACACAAAATATCATAGCATCATAGAATAACTGAGCTGGAAGGAGCCATCAAGTTCAAACCCCTGATCAATGCAGGAATTCAATATGCAACTGTAGGCGTAAGTAAAAGGCACGCAACCCATGAAATTATGAGATAAGGACAAACTAACTTACAGTATATGCATAGCTACCTTGGCTTTGGTGTGGTTTTCCTCCCAGTCTATCAAAAGAGCCAAGAGAGTAAATCTAATAGAGGGGACAGGAGTGTACCAACCTTCCTTTTCCTGCCACAAACATTTACAATCTCTGCCGCTTGTGCCACAAGTACTGCAAGCTGACTACTAAAACAGGACGTTTTGAAAGCCTAAAGACAGAGATTGCACCTTCTTTTATTTTTACTACATTGGTAAAGAATGTGATATTGCCACCAAAAAAGAAATACTCCTTCTTCTGCAGTCTGAGAACATAAACCCCAAGACTGAAGTCCATCTTCAGTGTTAAAACACATAGGAACAAAAGTAATAAAAAGAATACCTGGTGTATTATCTGTGCTACTGGAAGTTGGTTCGCATATTTTAATGTCTCTGTTGCTACTTCATCCACAGCATGCCTGAAAAAGAAATTGATTTTCGGCAGACATTAAAATAATATTGGGAAGGTCAAAGCCACATGGCAGTAATTACCATTAACCTTTAAATATACATATCCTATTCTCAAACATACACTGGATCCTTTTATGTGTGTGTCCATTAAGCACTGTCATGAATGTAAAATAAAATAGGCTACATACTGAGTTAAATGCCATTCACTTTTTTCAACCATTAATCTCTACAAATTTTGTTTTACATTTATCACAGGCATAACAGTTTCAACTTTTTTATCTTTTGTTTGTGCAACCAATAGGCTTCCTGAATAATCTAGAAGATATTCAGGAAAAGATCAAGAAAGAAACACTAGGTGTCCTTTACTACATATTCTCTCCCTCCCTCCCTCACTCCTCCACAACAATATAGTTATGGATAAATGCAAGGAGTTGTTGCTTGTATTCTAAGAATAAACAAACTTGCAACTGGATTTCTCCTATAGAAATTGAGGGCTTAGTTCTGCTTCTCTCTTACACTGAACGGCTGTGTTCTAAATAAGAATAAGGGTATCTGAGATGTCTATTAGGTGCAAGAAAAAAAAGAGAGAATGCAGAAAGATTAGAAAATGGAGAAAGATTAGTAAATGTGTACCCCTTAAAATAGCCCTGGGGCCTGAATCTTTGGGCTAAACCACACGAACATTGATCACATGTTTTTTTTTTTAAAAAAAAACTTGCTTAACCTGACTGTTGTTATTTTGGAGAAAAAGCAATCAGGGTCCCCAAACTGAAAGAGCATTGGTATTCTGCAGAAAACTGCAGGATAACCAACATGGCTAATATTTGCAGTTCTTTCATGAGAAAGAAGACGATGCCAGAAAACAGAGTGCTCCATTATAATATATAAGTACTCAAGTTAAGACCACTGTGTCTGAATAAATGCATAAACACCAACAAGCAAGGAAAGAAGAATGACATCTGCTTTCCTCTGTTTGCTGGATTCTGCACTATGGACACAATTTTGAAATGTTCTATCTTTTCTGGGAGACATTGCAAAAAGGCTAAAGTATGTCAAATGCACACTGGTTTAAAATGTATTTTCTTTCTCTTGTTTACCACTTGTATTTCAAAGCTTCAGGGTGCTTTTTTCATCTTTTCCTCAAGTACATATTGGAATTTGTCTGCCTTCCCAGAAAAGAGACACAAAGACGATTTTTCTTCAGGCCAGTTATATGCAAAAGCCAATCAGGACATGAGATTTGCAGTAATCAGAGTAATATAACTAACCTACTGTGTGTGTTCCAGGTAATAACTCAGTGATTATAGAATTCTGATTGGCTACAAGCCATTATTAGCCTATCAGGACAACATGATCTGCATTTTGCATAGTTATTAAGAAACAACAGTAGAGTGATTATGTAAATCAGGCATACAGTACTCAACTAGATTATAGGGAATTTCTGTAGCTGTGGGTGCGAAAGAGAAGTGGCAATGGTACAACACTCTAGCCTTTTTGTATTTCAAGCTACTGTTGTAGCAAACATCCATGACATTTTGTAAGGGAGCTCACAGGCTAATTATTCAATGTATGTGGTGGATTTCTCAGTGGAAGTGCATAGGGATGTTTAAAAAAACCTCTTCCACCTAAGGGTTGTACAGCAGATTGATTTCAGGCAGCCTTCACCAACTTTATGATCTCATTTCCTGTCTATATGGCAAATAGCTGGGGTTGCTGAAGGATGTAGTCTCATACAGCTGGAGGACAACACTTTGGGAAGATTTGTTTGCAGTTTGAGAAGGATAAAGATGGTTGGCAGGTACAGTATATTGTATGTAAGGTGCTGAAACCATCTTGATGATTCTCTTTAGGGATCTGATGGGAGGTACAGTAGTAGACTTACTATGCTGCATGCTTTCAGTGAAATCAATCAGACACAACAAAAACACATAAGTGATTCCTTTCTCCAACAATAAGCTATTGGGTAGCACTTCCCATGTAATGTCTCACCACCCAAGGAAGCAGGGAACACATAACAATACTAACAAGCTATTTTTGCTGTGTTGTTATTGTATAATTATATGATGTATGCCACTAGCAATTCTTTGAATAACATCACCCAGTCCCACGTCCGAATCATGACTTTATTTTACGCTTCATTTGTTTGCTCCAGCCTTTGACTTGAAGTAAATCCAGACTTAGAAACATTAGAGCAGACCTAATGAAATCAATAGGACAAGTTAGTCATCATCAATAACTTAACGTACACCCCAATGACTCTTCTAAATCCACTCTAATGATGACTCAGTCTGGCACTAATCTATAGACTCTCATGCTTATCTCTGTGCTGTTTGCAACAACATATAGGAATGGTTGTTGTTGGTTTTTCGGGCTGTTTGTGTTCTGGAGCTTTTTCTTCCTAATGTTTCGCCAGTTTCTGCGGCTGGCATCTTCAGATGACAGGAGTTAGAACTCTGTCTGTTTTCTGGTGTAGTGTGCGGGATATCCCGGCCGTAAAAGCCTTCGAGAACATATAAGAATGTTCCAGGAACTTGTAACGTGTATGACTCAAAAATCTGTTTGCTGATATACATTTGTCAAAAGGCGAAAACATGAGGAAAGGGGAAGTGAAAAGGCTATCATTTATAATTGGAGATATTTTAAAGATCAAACTGAATGAAAGGAGGGAAAAGACTGGATTATGATTAATAAGGGATCTATGAGAGGGAGAAAAAATAGCTGCCACCAGAATGACGGCAGAATCAGTGGCAATTTTCAGTAATTAAAGGCTTTCACCTCCTGTCTCACAGCTTTCCAACAATTAAAGAGGTTGCACCAAAGCCTATAAAGAATCATGACAGATTTCAGAAATGCTTAATTTCCCAAAATTCACTGCTGTTACTATTACTATCAGCCTTAAAGGTAAAGGTAAAGGTAAAGGTTCCCCTTGACAATTTTTGTCCAGTCATGTTCGACTCTGGGGGGCGGTGCTCATCCCCGTTTCCAAGCCATAGAGCCAGCGTTTTGTCCGAAGACAATCCTCCGTGGTCACATGGCCAGTGCGGCTTAGACACGGAACGCTGTTACCTTCCCACCGAGGTGGTCCCTATTTAACTACTTGCATTTGCATGCTTTCGAATTGCTAGGTTGGCGGGAGCTGGGACAAAGCAACGGGAGCTCACTCTGTCGCGTGGATTCGATCTTACGACTGCTTGGTCTTCTGACCCTGCAACACAGCCTTCTGCGGTTTAGCCCGCAGCGCCACCACGTCCCTTATGTAGCATAAATTATAGCAACAGGATTTCACCATCATAGGGGCCATAATTTTCATAATATAGCAATGTGCAACCCACTAATATTTCTACCGAAAATTATTTTGTTAAATATCCTGCCTAGAAATCATTATTTCAAAAGCATAGCACTGGGTTTTGATTGGACGAAACTCCATCCATTATCTAGGAGAATGAGCTACATATGTTACTCTCTTTAAACCCAACATTTCACCTACTGTGCTCAGGAGAAAAATACTAACCAGCCTCTGAAATAAAGTTCCTATGATCTTTAAAAGGGTCTCTTTACAAGTGACAAATGGAAGGGGGGAGGATCACAACTAATTCTGAAAATTACACTTGACTGAAGTTGCCCATAACACATCAAACTGTTATAACTGAACTTCTTTTTTTCTTCAATTGCTTTGTACAAACTCCAGTTTTTGGAGTGCAGCTGATTTCCCTCACTTCCTGCACTGGCAGTCACTTTTTAACCTAACGGCAATAGAAGCCTTTATTAAGACAGCATGAGGGAGAAAATATTGTTAACAATTTGCTTTCTTGAGAGATATTAGGGAACTATATCAAAATGAAGATTTTAATTCAGTCTCTAAAGAGCATGACAAAATCATGTCACATATTCATCAGAAGTAGCTATTTTTATTCGTATCTTTGTTCATCATCCTGAACAGATCGACTCAATTCACTTTCATGATGAACCAAACACATGCGGCTGCTCTGTAAAAAAGCAAACTGTGTCCTAACACAGTACCCATAAAAACTTAATCAAATTTCAGTTCTATATTTGCAACACTGCTCTGCATTTATAAGAAGAAGATTTAGCTGTACTTTCTTGTGGACAAGACTTATTTGCCTAAATGCTGAATGGAAGAAATGCCTGTTAATCTTGAGAGAGCTCTTCAAAACACAAGCATCCATAATGTTCTTTAGAAACATACTGGAGGTGCATTTGCTTACCAATAATCAAGAAAACCAGAGATAGTTTGAAGAGTCCCAGCAACTGAATGAACCATTAACCTCTCAGACAGCAGCACTATTTGTTTGAGCAAATATTGCTGATTTTATATATATATCGCAGTGAGCAGTCTGTATAGCATTTTGTCAAATTAATGTTTGTTTATTTACAGCTTTCACAAAGCAATATAGAAACTTAATGAAGTATTAGTAGCAGAAGCTCTTATCAGTGTTCTACACTAGTAGTTTTTGCCTGAGGACCGCTACTTTCTAGCTTGCCATAACAATTATTTTGGTGAGGGAGAGAATTTGTTTTTAAACAAATTTAATCTGCAACTCCATTTCCCAAGTATGCTGCTCCCTCCCTAACTCATGCCCCATGGGTACCAATCTGAGGTAAATAAGTAACCTGTTCCTGTACTTTTCCAGAATAACACTCAACAGTATGCAGCTAAAGTGAGACAAAGAGAGTGAGTTTCCACATAGAATACTTGTCATTCTAGAAGCAAAAGGACATTTCGGGCAGAGATTCCAGGATGGAAAAATCCCTTTTTAAAAACCTCATTAACAGGTACCCACTGAATAACAAGCACTGTCCCATGTGCTAAATATGGTATTTTTGAAATCAAAGTGATTAATGAATTAAAGGATGTCCAGCTGATTTAACAGTTGTGCTTTAAACCAATTCATTCAGTGACACTGAATTTCTCTTGACACCACCTCTAATTCTCTGGCTATTTTTACAGGGAAGATAGCCTGCTAGTGCAAGTGGTATCTACAGAATG